TTTTTTTATTCTATCATTTTGCGTCACTGTGATAAACTCCCTTTTTGTTGACAACCACGTTGTTTTGTTGATATTCCGTTTTCTAAATATACAACATTGCAATCTCTACCCAGAGTTGTCGTGCAAGGATCGTAACTCTACGTGATAGTCTCGTTCAACCAGACTCTTGTTGTCTGCGCAAGCGTCTGATTGACCGAGACTACACTGCCGATACAATAATGTTTCGACCATTCAGAACTAGAGCAATGTAGCCGGTAACGTTATGTCAAGAGAGTTTACATCTTTAACCGGAAAGTATCAAATATTTAAGTATCCTATAGTTAGATATAAGTTTTAAATCTTACAAAAATGTAACGTTTGTTCGAGATTCGGCAAACGAGAACTTGTTTCGAGATCAAGATGGCGAAGACTACAGCGCGTGCGACCGGCGGCCATGTTAAGACAAGTTTTTCAGTTCCATAGGTAGTGTGAATATTTTTTATTTGTCTTACATACGTGTTACCTATATGGAGAGCTTCGAAGGGCCCGTGAGAGAGCTCCGCCCTCTATGAATATCTTGAGCTCATTTCTGAAGTAATACCAATAGCTTGCGGCTAACACCTTAGCTAAAACAATCATATATGTCGGAGCCTAGATCTTTAGGCCTGTTGTGTGTCATTAATGCCCTTATTTAGTTGATACATACGGGAAGGGAACAGATGTTTTGAAAAGGATTCCGAAACGGATGTAAACAGATGTTTAAGTCTGCGTTTTAGTTTTTTCAGTGCAGACGTTGTGGTTTTTGATCGTGTTGATCTCCGGGCCATAACTAAGATTTACAATGCTTGGCCTTGAGAACATGTACATTCAAAATGAGTGATAAAAGTCATTGCACATAAATTGCATTGTCACCATTACCACGTGAAATATATGTTTAATATCACATGTACTTGAAAACTCTTTGACCGGTTGCTGAACACTCTTTGTATACGTGATATCTGTAAAGCGCGAGAGTAGTTTGATTGATGGCAGAAGGCGATAACTAACTGCTGTTAATACCTGTCGTTCTTTACGTTTGCGATCGGTTTACTTATACCTCAATAAGAAAGTGAGAATACCGCGACGCTGGTTACCCTTTGAACTTAGGGGCTTCAAATTCATCGCTTATGTAACTGTCGTACCCAAGTTTCTAGAGACATGAGACAAGGTTATAGTTTTTATAGTCTTGCTGTTTGTGACAACGTAAAAACATGGCTTACCTTGAGGGTAAACATACGGGTCTCTCCGCTTGACCATCCTGGCTGTAATCCAGATGACCAACCCTGCTGCCAGGTCAACAAAGCTGTCCACTAGACTAGAAATAATGGAGATCGAGCCCGACAAAATAGACGCTATCGTCTTGGCCGCAAACAGGAGCTGGTGAAAAGGAATGAGCGAAATGTTAACTATAATCCATACTTGTTCAGTAACTGAAATACGCATCGTCTGTAGTTGTTTTAGTTTATTCTTATTTCAACATACACAGGGACATATTTAGGTTAAGATATAACACATAATGCTCTAAGGTCTAGAAGAGACTAAAACGACATGCTTTTTCAATCAAACTGGATAAATTCGCCTACATATAGCTCTGAGTCAAATCAATAGCCTGAAGCCAGCTGTAAATATGAATATCTCATTCAGGCGCGGATTAAGGGGGG